TGAGCGCCGAAGAATTGATGCTTTTGAACTGTGGTGTTGGAGAAGACTCTTGAGAGTCCCTTGGACTGCTATGAGATCCAACCAGTCCATCCTAAAGGGAATCAGTGCTGAATGTTCATTGGAAGGACTGATGCTGAAACTGAAACTCCAATACTTTGGCCACCTGATGCAAAGAACCCTCAGGTGGCCAAGACCCTGGAAAAGACCCTGATGCTGGGATAGATTGAAGGCACGAGGAGAAGAGGACGACAGAGGATGAGACGTTTGGATGGCATCACCGATGCGATGAACATGAGCTTGAGTAGGCTCCGGGAGTTGGTAATGGACAGGGAAGCCTGGCGTGCTGCAGTCCACGGGGTTGTAGAGTCGGACACGACTGAGCGACTGAACTAACTGGACCCTGCGGGGGTGCCTCCCCAGGCTTCGCTAGGGGGCAGCAGAGCATCGCGTCAACGTGGCCCCCAGGCGCATCACAAAGGAGGCTTTGTGGAGCGCGGGCACGTTCTTTCTATACATTTTCTCCGGAGCTTGTGTGCTGTGGAGGAGCTGGCTAGCCTGGTCCTGTGGACAGGGATGAGCAACCCCTCAAGAAGGATTCCCTTGCTCCTCAAGGGAATGAATAAAAGCAGCATTGAGCAATCATGGGGCCCTCCCACAAACACCCTGCTCCTGGCTCCAGCCCCTTCAATCCACTCTCCCTTCAGCTCCAGCCATCCTCCCTGAGAAAACCCAACGCGGACTCCCTGGGGCGGCAGAATAAGGTCTGATGTCCCCTACCTGGGACTGCAGACCATTCAGACCCAAGGCCATTCGGGTTCTGTCTCCTGCTGCCCCCTCCAGCTGTCCCGCTCCACTCCCCACCACCCTCAACCCCTGCACCCAGTGCTCCAGCCCAAAGCTTTCCCAGGCTTTCCTTTGGCTCCTTTAAACCTTTGCCGCTGCAGTCCCCTCTGGCGGACTGCTCCCTTCTTGCTGCTTGGTGGATCTGTCCTGCAAGTCTTCCCGTGCGTAGAAAGCCTTTCCTGGCACCCTGGACCCACCAGGTCAGGTTGGAACCACTTCAGCATCCCCAGAGCCTCCCTCTTGTTACAAGGTGGATCACACTGGATTGCTCCTCCTGTCTACTGGGGAGCAGGGACCATGCTGCTCCATCCCTGGAATCTCTGAGCCAGAGCCGGGCCCTGCACACAGTAAGAATTCAACAGATGCTGATGAGAGGGAGAAAGGAGCCGAGGAGGAGGAAGGGAGCCTGGCGAGAGGGCTGCTGGCTGCCTCCCACCCCGACCTCCGTGTCTCCTCCCTCCCTTCCTCTCAAGGCTAACCGCACACTCTCAGCTTCATGAGCTAAGGACTCATTTAGGGACCCATTTATCATAGAGATCATCAGCTCCTGCCACAAAGCTGCTCTCAAATATGCCCAGAAACTGAGTGATACTCTTCTAGCCCCAGCCAAGCCAGCCTCTTGGGCCCAACTGTGAGCTACAGATTTAGAGCTCCCGTAGCGAGGAGGACAGGCTCCAGTGGGCCCTGGAAAGCCCAGGTGTCCGTGCCCCCTGCTCCTCCCGACGCATGACACAGGAGGGCTCATCCTCCCTTGAGAGGTGCGGAGACCGAGGCCCTGTGGGAAGAGGTGGAGCCCAGCCCAGGGCTCGCCCGGCCAGGCAGCCTTGCCTTGGACTGAGATGGAGGAAAGATGAGAAAGAAGATCAGCGAGGAGGACGGGCTCTCTGCATCACGTGACACTCATCTGTCATTGCTCCGCTCGTCTCCCCCGCGGAGGAAAAGCCAGATGGGTCCAAGGCCTGTTGTGAAATTTTCCAAACAGAGCTTGCTGTAATCTTTAATTAAAACATCAATGTGGGCCACAGGACTCGTTTCACAGAGTTCTCCAAAGCAGGGACTGCAGGGATCGCTGAATGAACATCTCTCTGGCCCCCTAGCCCATTTTACAGATGGTTAAACGGAAGGGGGCCAGCACAGGCTAGAACGCCAGTTGCATGCGTGATCAAGAGTAGTAATTATAGCATAAGATGGAGAGAATAACCCACTGGCAGCCCTGGGCCACCACTCTTTCTCCTTAAGTGCCTGGATCCTCTCCTCCAAAGCCTTATCCAGTTTCTCTGCTGTATATGGTGGGTACTGGGCTTCCTCGTAAAGAACCTACCTGCCAATGTAGGAGACATAAAGGATGTGGGTTTGATCCCTGGGTGGAGAAGATCCCTGGAGGAGGGCATGGCAACCCACGCCAGTATTCTTGCCTGGAGAATCCCATGGACAGAGGAGCCTGGCGGGCTACAGTCCATAGGGTTGCAAAGAGTCAGACATGACAGAAGTGACTTAACACACACACGTGCACATGGTGGGTACTGGCAGCCTTGCCAGGCTTTCCGCTAGACAAGAAGCCTGGTGAGGATTAGGGATTCCATCCGCATGCTCAGCACAGGGCCTGGCACAGAGACACACTCCCTGTCTGTCTGTCTGTCTGATGAAGGCATGACGGTCCAGCCAGAGGAAACGATACTGCCTGAAGCCAAGCTTCATCTTTTGGTGAAGATGAGGCTCTATAGAGTGGTTGTGAAATCAAAGGACCCAGGGTTGTTGAAACTCCCGTTGTTTCCAGGATCTCAGCTCTTCTCCCTAGAAACAGAAACAACTTTCCCCTGACTCAGTCCACCCACTACTCACCCAGGAATGACTTACCTATGAGCTGGATATCTTCCTCTAAAGGCGATAATACATAAGAGTGTTTAGGGACATTAAGTACTGTCTCTTGCACAATGATGCCTCATGGTGTCTGAAACCTTCTGGGTCAGAGGGCTGGGAGTTAATGTTTATTGACCACTGAACACTTTTTCTAATTTAATTAATTTTCAAAGCAGCCCTCTGGGATTGGCACTACAATTGTCCCCATTTTACAGATGAAGAAAATGAGGCTCAGAGATGTTTCGTAACTTGCTCAGAGTCAGGCACTCACTGAATGGTGTAGTGGGGATGTGTCTGTTGCCAGAATTTGTATTCTGTCCTCTACTCTCTGCAGCCTTTTCCTGTGAGCCGTTCTGCAAAGCTAAACTTGGATAACTGAAGTTGACCTTTTGCGTCCACAATTTGCCTTAATTTTACCGTCTCTCTTACAACAGGCTCCCCTATCAGCTTTCACACTCCCCTGCCTTCTTCCCCGGGGAAAGCTGAGTGATACTTTAAGGCGTTGGAGCTCCACCCCTGGCATCAAAATTACCTGGGGACTCCAGGCCCCACCCGTGGAGAGTCTGTTTAATTGGTTTGGGGGTGGGGACCAGGCATCAGTGTTTCCAAAGCACTCCAGATGGTTTTAATGCACAGTCAGGATTGACAACTCCGGCTTTCGATTTTTCTTGATAACGAAGTCATTCCATGCAGCATGTATCTTGAAGTGTGTCCTGGGAGAGTGATTTCTCAGATCTTGATGGGCATTTTTGAGACCTTGTATCTGCTTTATTAATAGAACATCTGGGATTTCCCTGGTGGTACAGTGGATAAGACTCTGCCTGCTAGTGCAGAGGACACGGGTTCGATCCCTGGTCCGAGAAGATTTCACGTGCTGTGAAGCAACTAAACCTGTGCTCTAGAGTCCACGAGTCATAACTACTAAACCCACATACTGCAGCTGCTGAAGACCACGTGCTGAGAGCCTGTGTTCTACAAAGAGAAGCCACTGCCGTGAGAAGCCCGTGCACCGCAAGTAAAGCGTGGCCGCAGCTCACCGCTACCAGAGAAAAGCCCACACAGCAATGAAGACCTAGTACCGCCAGAAATAAAATAAATAAATAAAAATCATTTAGCACATCCGCCCTTCTCTTGGGACCAGACTTCCAGAAAAGCCATCTCATTGTGGCCTGAGAGTCCCTCTTTTCAAGCTTAGAATCCACTGAGGATTCATAGATTGAAAAGTGCACAACTGCCCACAGTCTCTGCCTGCAGGGACCATAGGATCCATTAAGAGTTTTCCAGATTTTTCTCCCTTTCTAGATATTCTCCACTCAGGTGACAAGAAGCTGTCCGATGTGTAAGGTGAAGCTGCACTATCAAGTTGAATGTGAATTAAGCACATTCAAAGCACCCACTCTGTGCCAGGTCACTAACTAGGTGCTAATGATCCACTGTGTCATTTGTGTTGTTTGGTTGGACATAGAGAAGCTGCACACTCTCCCAGGAAGCCCTCCTGGATTGACATGGGAGCCCTCTTCTGAGGACCCACACCTCCCATACCTACCAGCCCCAGGACCTGAGCCCATCTGATGGAGTTGGGGTGGGGCAGTAAAATCTGTCTGCCTGGGAGAACTGTAAGCTCTCTGAGGGCAGGGACTGGGTGTTGAATCAGGGTATGTCTGTTAAGCTGAATGACTCACAGCAGTTAAAACCAAATGCCATGGGAGCACAGGCGAAAAAGGTGAATCCTGACCAGAGAGCAAGCGCTGGGGAATCTGGGAAGGCTTCCTGGAGGAGGCAACATTGGGACAGGCTTTATAAACGGGTAGAAATTGGGACAGGCAGAAGGGAAAAGGAGCATTTCAGGCAAAGGGAACAGCACGAGCAACGGCCCAGAGGTAGAACAAATTGAAGAGCAAACTGTGGTTTAGTGGGATCAAAGGCCAGGGAGTGTGATGGGATCATACTCCAAACTTCCAGAACACAGAAGTTTCCATGGAAGCCCTGGGAACGGTTCTAAGAACTGGTGTTCACTCACTCCTCCAGATGAGCCTGGAGATGCCCTAGCGCCCCTCCTTGTGATTATTCAGGCTCTCTCCAGGAAGCCCCGCCCACCTTATCAGCACGGGGGTGCTGAGTTCCAGCCTGGGTGGGGGCCAGGCCCCACTGCTGACTCGCGCCTCTGGCAGCTGAGGCGCTGGAACATGAAGCTGAGGCTTCCTCACCAAGTCCAGCTGCCAAGCCCTCTGAGCTGGTCCCGCTGGAGCTGCAGGAACTCTCCCGAGGCCACGAAGTCATCATTTCCCTGCTTTGTGACCCGAGGGACACACACACACACACACAGCCTCAGTGTGCGGGAAGGACAGTGGACAGAGGCATCTATGCCCTGCCTCCTTCAGCACTCTGGGATTTCTGGGAATAAACACTGTGCCTGCCTCCCTGTGGGAGGAGGAGAGGGAGACGCAGCCCCCCGCCCACAACTCCAAGACTGTCGCTGAAACAGAGTCATCGTCTCTCACCGAGCCTCGGAGGATTTGATTAGCACCAATTTCCAGGGCTCTGCACCCCTTCATTCCTTTCCAACCTCATATCTGTGGGCCCTTCTCCTTTTCTGATTTCCATAACCTGGACCCTGATGTCCTGTCTCCCCAGAATTAAAAGGGGCTGAATTCTCTCAGCCTTACTTACCCCCCAACTTGGCAACGGGCCAATAACAAAAAAACAAAACCAACCGGAACAACAACTCCGCTAAGATTGCTGCCACTGTTCACTAGTCCAGCCAGTACTTCTACCACCACGCTCCAACTACTGCTTCTGTTGGTACTAGTCCTTTACACTATGAGGAATGCAGGGTCTTAATTCCTTGACCAGGGATCAAATCCTCACCTCCTGCAGTGAAAGCATGCAGTCTTAACTGCTGGACTGCCAGGAAAGTCTCACTACTTCTTAGGTACTTTAGTAAGAGTATTAAGAAGTACTGGTACTACCAGTATTTCAGCTACTATTACTAGCATGATTTATATTACTACTACCATCGCCTTAGGGTTTCCCAGGTGGCTCAGTGGTAAGGAGCCCGCCTGCCAACGCAGAAGATGCAAGCTTGATCCCTGGGTCAGGAAGATCCCCTGGAGAAGGAAATGGCAACCCACTCCAGCATTCTTGCCTGGGAAAAGATTGCTGCCACTGTTCACTAGTCCAGCCAGTACTTCTACCACCACGCTCCAACTACTGCTTCTGTTGGTACTAGTCCTTTACACTATGAGGAATGCAGGGTCTTAATTCCTTGACCAGGGATCAAATCCTCACCTCCTGCAGTGAAAGCATGCAGTCTTAACTGCTGGACTGCCAGGAAAGTCTCACTACTTCTTAGGTACTTTAGTCAGAGTATTAAGAAGTACTGGTACTACCAGTATTTCAGCTACTATTACTAGCATGATTTATACTACTACTACCATCGCCTTAGGGTTTCCCAGGTGGCTCAGTGGTAAGGAGCCCGCCTGCCAACGCAGAAGATGCAAGCTTGATCCCTGGGTCAGGAAGATCCCCTGGAGAAGGAAATGGCAACCCACTCCAGCATTCTTGCCTGGGAAATCCCACGGACAGATGAGCCTGGCAGGCTACAGTCCCTGGGGTCACAAAAGAGCTGGTCATGACTTAGCAACATCCATCACCTCTACTGCGGCCACTAGTATTTATCCTGCCACTATTTTACTGCTGTTACTGCCACTATTTTACTACAACAATGAACTTCTATTTACTGCTACTTCTGATAGCTCAAACATGATGAATTAAACAAGACCTAAGCTCAGCCCTATCAACTGACGTCATTTATCACAGTAACAGCCTGCTGTGCTGATACTATCCTCCCTACTCTATGGATGGGGAAACTGAGGCGTGTGGGAGGTAAGTGCCTTGGCCCAAGTGCAGGGACAGGAAGAGAATGAGACTGGATCTTGACCAGCAGCCTGACTCTGGGGGCCAACTCTGAGACCCAGGATCCTTCTCCTCCCCTGTTCTTTGTCTGGTTTCCTGAGTACATCCCTGGGTTATCTTGAATCCTCAGGAAAAGATTCCTTGAAGTTGAAGGGAAGGGACCTTACCCTTTGCAAGATGTCTAGAATGCCATGAGCAAGGCACATAGTAGTTGCTCAGTGCACACATTATTTCCAATCAGTGTATAATAGAACTCTCCTAACAATCTTTTATGTGAGGACAAGGACCTGGGTGTTACAGCTGGGGAAACAGACTCTCAGGAGTGCTGTGATCTATCCAAAGGCTGGATCTGGGACTGTATGCCAGAACTGAAACAGAGCAAGACGCTATGGTCCTTGTCCTCCATGCCTTCTGCCTACCTTTTGTCTGTGAAAAAACCCACTGTAGCCAAAGAATAAGCTTAATCAGAGAAGTGAGAACATGCAGGAACAAAGGAATACAGTCAAAGGGTGTGTGTGTGCTAAGTCGGTTCAGTTGTGTCCAGCTCTTCGCTGGACCCAGGGACTGTAGCCCACCAGGGTCCTCTGTCCATGGGATTCCCGAGGTAAAAAGGTTGGAGTGGGTTGCCATGCCCTTCGCCAGGGGATCTTCCCGGCCCAGAGATTGAACCCGTGTCTCTCATGTCTCCTGCGCTGGCAGGTGGGTTCTTTGCCACTAGCGCCACCGGGGAAGCCTCTGTCAAAGGAGTGCAAATAATAATAATTCAGACATTAAGCATAGTCAAGGACCTTCAGCTCCTTTTCAAAAGCTATAGATAATATTTTGAGCCATATCCTGTGAGCTGTCCTATAGATACTGAAACCGCCACCAGACTGGAGAAGTTTACTACACTATGACCGGACTGTAGCCATGACATAAACTGGTACAATTCTGAGAACTGGCCTCAAGGAAACGGGAACAAACCACCCCTGGAACTGAAGATCAGCTGCACCAAAAACAATCAAGGTGACACTAGTCAGACCCCTGCTGCTCAATTTCAAGATGACTGTCAGAACTGACTGTGCTGTTTCCACCTGTAGCCCCCTGCCTCAGCCTATAAAAGCTGTTGCCCTGCTGATTGTCAGTGAAGAGAGTTGGCCTTTGGACAGACTCTTGCCCTCCCTTCCCTGCCCCTGGCTGCCAGAATCAAAAATAAAGAAAACTTTCCTTTCCACCAACCTGGTCTCTTTATTCGCTTTTTGAGCGGCAAGCAGCCGGACCCCACTTTTGTTACAGAACTGTCTTTTCATGACCTCACACATGATGTGACCTGCTCACCCTTGGCATGAGCTCTTCTATGCACTCTGTATTTTACAGTTTACAAAGCTCACACATATATTCATATTATTTCTCACAATGACCCTCAGAGGGAATGATCAACTCCATTTTATGGATAAGAAAACTGAGGCTCAGATGGCAAAGACAGATTTTGGAGCCCTCCTGAGGAGTCAGTGGCCAATCCAGGATTTGAATCCGTCTGCACCCCAACCCCCGTGGAGCCTGAGAGTAGGGGCCTCCCAGCTGGAAGAATCCGAGAGGCCTCTCTTGGGACAGCCCTCCTGCTTTACCCTGCTCAGCCACCCCAGCCCCTGTGGTGGGCGAGCCCACAGCCCTGAGGGGTGGAGAAGGCTGGCTATTTCCAGCCTGGTACTTAAGGGCTGGCCAGGGAGTGGGGTGTGGGCTGGCCAGAGGGCTCTGTGTTCCCAAGAGGGTCTGGCCTTCGGCTGCTGAGACCGAGGCAGGGGGTCAGGGATTTCTGTCCAAGCCATCTAGGCTAGCCAAAGCTTGGCAGGCCACCCCCTCCCCCAAAAGGTAAGATGTAGGTAGCCAAGATGCACACAGGCAGCTCATTCAACCCCCTCCAGCTCAGCTGACCCTGTCCTGGGCTGGGGCCCAGGCTGGGCAGTGCCCTTGCTGCTCCCGAGAGATGGAAAGAGCAGACTGCAGTCCTGATATGGGCCCAAGGATCAGTTACAAGCAAACACATGTGCTCTGAACAACTACTCTGTGTCACCCTGTCTCCCAGCTCGCAGCGGGTCTGGGAAATTGCCACCCATCCCAGGCCCCTCTCCCCCTCGTATGAGAAATGTTCACGACACCAAGCCCTTTCAAAGCACCAAACATTTCCTGCCCCAGGACCTTAGCATGTGCAGTTCCCTCTGCTGAGGGCGCCCTTCCTTCAGCTCCTCACATGCTAGGCTCCTCTGTCTTCATATTTAAATTTTAAAAAGTCACCCTTCAGTGATGTCTTCCCTGACTCCCCAGGCTAATAAGTTCCTTCCAACTCCTTGCCTCCATCCACAACTTTTCTCTCACCCTCCTCTGCTTCTTCCTCAGCGTTTGTATTTAATTTTTAACCTACACATTGATGGGCTGTCTCCCCCACAAGAGCAAGGACAAATTTCACTTTGCTATCACTCCCCCAAGGTTCAGCAGATGGCCAGACACTTGGAATAAACATTTATCACCTGAACAAATGGAAAGGAAGTGAATGCATTTATTTGCCCACATCCTCACAGGGGCATTGTACTTGAGGGCATGGCTCTGTCTCCAAGGCACCACCTTGCCCCTGTGAGCACGCTGAGATGGGGCCACATTCTCTGTAGCGGTCCTTCCTCAGCCCCAGAGGCACATCCTTTAAACAAGGGGCTCCACATCTTCTCCAACTTCCTTTATGGACCCTCCAGCCTCTGCTTGCATACCTCCAAAGGACAGGGAGCTCATCCCATCCAGTGCAATATTAGATGCTCCCTTTCAATGTTGCGTGACCTTCCAAATGACAGGATGAGCTGTTTTTCACAAGTTCTCAAATGCTGGTGAGGAAGACTTCCTGTTGCTATCACAAGGCTTTGGACTTTGACAATGCACTTTTCTTCATATATTCCCTGTGCTCCAGCTACAAGCCAGAACTGTGCTCACCAAGTAGGGAAAACTTAGAGAGTTTGGTGGCTTGAAGATGTTTAAGGTCTCTGATGGCCTCTGGGCCGGACAGCAGTGCTGTTGGTGGCCCATGCTGTGAATCTGACGCCTCCAAAACCTCACTGTGCACACAGGTCACCCGGGGAGCTTAAGATGCCGCTTCTGACACAGCACATCTGGCCAGAGGATCTGCATCTCTCAAGTGACACTGATGCTGCCGGGGTATGGACCACACTTTGAGTGACAGGGTGTAGGCCCAACTGACAAAGAAGGATGGTGAGGCCTGGAGAGAGTAGGGACTTGCCTAGGGTCACCCAGCCCGACAGCAGGGGCTGAAGGGGGACCGTCCGCCTCCCCCAGCCAGGGCTCTGGAATTCACGGGGCAGGTTGGGCTCAGTGCGTCTTTGTGAGATGCAGCATACCTGGACTCACCCGGGCTGCCCGCCCCTGCCCATGAATAGTGGGCCTCTTTCCTTCCTGCACCAGGCTGGCGGGCGCACGCCCACAGACGCCCCCTCCCCTGCACACACACTCACACACACTCACACACCCTGGCCAGCCCGGCGGCCCTCCCTGTTAGGGGAAAGTCAACAAGAGCATTTGAAAAGTCTTTCTGTGTGGAGAATCTGTTTGTATAGGGGGAGGAAACGGAGAGCTGGCCAATAGGTAGAAATATTAATGAAGCTTGTTATAAAGGGCCCATTCACGGCTCTTCGAGTAAATAGGGCTCTTGTCGGGCTGCCATGTTATCTGCCAAGTTCAAGAATG